CTGGGACAATACCTGCTAAGATGCAGCATAGTGCATCTCCCTACAAAAATTTTCAGTGCCTAATTCCTTTATTTTCTTCCACACAACAACATCTTTGTGAGAGCATGATGAAGAATTCTAGTTGGGGTGAAGAGGCAGTTTAGTTGGAGTTTTCAAGAAAATTCAAGTTGTGCTCAGGCTGTGAGGTGTGACTGTTTCACACCCGAAGTCTTCAAATCAAATTATAAAAATGTGCAGAGAGTGGGCAAATATTGCAAGATCTTTGGTGACATTTCAGCAGCAAAATTTACACCTTCAGAAAATCTTGCCGACACATTTGGATTGAAATTATTATTAATTATTTCTGTTAATTTTTTAGAAAAATTTACACAAACAAAAAAGTCTTAGATTTCTGTACTACATATGTGTATCAAGTTTCAAAGTGATATGTCCGTAAATAACCAAGATATAAAAATTGCCGGACACTCCCCTTAATTAATATTGTCCAAATGGAAATAGAACCTCTGAAGTTTTCTTTGTTGATGCATCTTCAGATCTTCAATATGGCACACTGATATTGCATGATCTGAATCTTCCTCCTTGTCATAGGCATCCTACTCATGGGTTTGATCTAGTTCTACCTTTGTGTTGTTTGTGTTCTCTAATTTGTCTTGATTTCCTGTCAAGGTCTGAGATTGCCACTGCTGGCCTTTTTGCTGCTCATATGGATGAGAAATTGAGAAGTACCCACTACCCAAATTACAGGGCAGTTTATTGTGATGGCTCGCGACTGATTGATGGTTTGTCTGTTGCTTGTGGTCTTTTTGTTCCATCTGTGAAGCAAGCAGTTGCATGGCAGTTGAATCCTGATCACAGTGTATTGTCTGCTTAACTAATTGCACTTTCACAGGCCCTGCAACTTATTGAACTGTCAACCGGGGCTACTCGGGATGGGCGGGGCTACTCGGGACAGTCCTCTGACACGGCGTAAAACTGTTATAGTAGCAAAAGTAATTGTAATATTGCAAAACTAAATATAGTGGTGTAAACGTCAACATTTTTCCTATCTATGTAGTATAAAGGAAGTCAAAAAATACTACATTTACTAGCTTTGAAAAATTCCTGAAAAAAATGGTGAAAAACACTATTTTGAAAAGTTACTTCTGCTAAGGTCTGTAGCCAAAAAAATATTCGCCATATTAAAAACTTTTACTTACATAAAAGATGCATCCAGGTGTTGGCTTGAAAATGCAATTGATGGAATTGTCCTATCTCATTTAAAAAAAAATTAGGGCCATTTATGCACGGCGGGGCTACTTGGGCCACCCCCCGGGGCTATACAGGACACCCCCAAAAACGCATTTACAGTAGAACCTCAGTAAGCAAAGGCTCCAGTTAAGAAAAAAAGAATTAAAAACAAAGAATATTGATTATATTTACCTTGCTTGGTAAAAAAATTTCACTTTTCAAAAAATTAGTGCATCATCAGTCGTCACAAAATTGTACATAGAATGCTATATATATAATTGTGCACCGGGCATCATAGAATGAAAAGTAATTGACCTAAACTATGATTTATTTCTCCAAAATATATGATGGTTGTCACTAAAACATTCCTATCTGTTTCAGGTATGTTTTTCACTATCTTTTTTTTATAGTAAATTCACTTAACCCAATTAAAATGGCGCACAAACGAGCACTATTGTGCTTGCTATGTCCATCTGTCTGTCTGTCCATCTGTCTGTCCGTTTGTCTGTGACATCAAGTTTTCGTTGTTGGGGTCAGCCCCTCTAAAGGTCGACGGTCCGGCCGGTATAGTACCAGCACAGGGAACAGAATAAAAACAAACTCAGGAGATCAAACAGAGGAAGAACCAGGCAACAATATATTAAATAGAATCAGTGGTACATGAAGGTGAAATATGACGGTTAGTAGGTTAGTGAAGATGGGACAGCCCAGGGCTATGAGTGATGGGGTGAACCTAGCATGAGAACATAAATAACCAGCAGCCCAAACTGGTTTGAACCGTAAAGAATAAACAAGAATACACAGTAAATAAACTAAACTGGGCCAGAATAATGATCAGTATCCTAAATCTAATCAAGAATAATGAAGCTAAGGAATCAAGGGCTCAAAACAGGCCCTGGGTCAGGCCTGGTCCAACAAGTGGCGTCTGCACCAAAGAAACAAGATGGCGGTGGTCTTACTTGAGAGTAGCAGTGGGGTTACTGGGGTAGACTCAACCGGCACGTTAAGGCAGCTCTGACATGAGTTGCTGGACAGGACTTAAAGAGGCATCAACGCTGGCCTCTAGTGTCAGCTCGAGTAGCTCAAGAGCAGCCCAAGACTCGACTGCAATGTGGCTCAGTGAGCCCAAAGCTTGCCTGTCACTCGTCCAGAACTGGTATCAAACTAGCTCAGTACTTGCCGGAATGCGCTCCAAATTGGTCCAGAATATGCCCCACATTGGCCCAGAATATGTCCCACATTGGCCGCCCGCTCTATAAAGAGCCGTGATAGTCTTGGGGTAGATTAGTGACAGATCAGCAGGCAGTAGTCAGGGACAGAAAGCATGTTCATTTACAGGAGGTCAGTCAGCATGGGTGAGTAGCAGGTCAGTATCACAGTATGAGTGCAAGTTATGCAGAATTATAGAAAACTGACTCTCTCTAAAACACTGCTTCACATTCACATGCACAAATTTAACTTTAACTAGCTGTCACTTGTTTAGTATTAAGGCACTGGGGACACAAAGAAGAGAATTAATTCAAACAATTAAAAACAATCAATAAATATTGAGAGGCAGGAGCCAGCAATTTATGGTGAGTGAAGCTAGAGTATAGACCTGTATTTTGCATGTTTCAATTCAAGTTTAATTTAGCTAGTAAAAAAATGGCATCATTTATAGAAAAAAAAGTGGTCTAAGTTACCCCATTTTACGGTACTGTTATTGTTAGTAGGCTAATTGCAACATAAAAAATAACACCTCAAAAAGGCAAAAAAACTGAAAAAATAAAAAAAAGTCAAATAAATCAAAAAAATCATGAAAAAATCAAAAAAATCATTGATTTTTTATTTTTTTTTTTATTTTTAAAAAAAAATAAAAAAAATTGCCAACCCTGAAGGCTGCTGATATGAAGCTTGCAGTGGACAAGGTTGTTGTAAATGCTCAATGGCATGTTCATGGATACCGTAATATCACATCGATAATACAGTAATATTGCATCAATAATAGGGTACCGTCAGTTACCGTCAACTAGGGTGATTTTGGCTGCATTTTTTATTTTGTTTTGCAAACAAAAGCGGGGTCATAAACAATGGCCAAAGTCACTGGGGTGTTTATGACCTTGTTTACGACCCTGGTGTTTATTACCCCGGCGTTTACGACCCTGTTTTTGTTTGCAAGACAAAATCAAAAACGCGGCCCAAGTCACCCCAGTTGACGGTAAATAATGTTTATGGTAATATCATCAATAAAGAAAAAACAAGTAAAAATCACTGAAAATGTCATTTATTCTACCTCTACATCATCTACAATGAAAGAAGAGGACTTCAGAGTACTGTTAGTAATGGATGAGTAAACTCTGCATGCTTCAAATATTTTAAAATGAAGTTTTATTGCAAGTGTCCCAAGTAGCCCCGTTCGACGGGGCTACTCGGGACACTCTTTTTTTTGCTTCTGGCACCTTAGGAATAGCATATGGAATTTTTTTGACAATGACATTCGATAGCCCTCGCAAAGAGCTATGAAATGAGCCTAAACATTTTTATGAAACATTTCATCCTAAGAAGTTATTAACAAAAAAACGCTCAAAACTGTCCTGACTGGCCCTGGTTGACGGAAGCTGACTCCTTCCCTCAATGGGTCATATTTTCTGACTCCTGCAGATTTTCCAATTTTGCCATCTCCCACCAGTACTTGTCCTCATCTGGTCTACGTATATGCAAGCTTCTCATACAGTGGAATGACTCAAAGACCCTGCATCTGCTGTGGGTCAAGGTTCACAATGACATTATTGGTAATGAGCGTGCTGATGCAGTTGCCAAACTGGGTCATTGCCTTGAACACTCTACCTTGTTTGGATGCTCGTGCTGTTCTTTGGTCATGTGTTTCTTGTTTTTTGGGGATTTGGATTGGGATACTACAGGTACAGGGGCTACAGATATAAAAAGCCATCATCTTGCTTCTATTCGGTCTGGCGTGTCTCCTGTTCCATGCATTGCTGGCCATTTTGGCCATACTACATGGTTTTAACCTGTCTTCATTTTGGTCACTTTGGGGGGTTTTTTTTTTTTTCTTCATTGATTTGGCCTAGCAGACATTTTCATGTGCCTGCACTGTAGGATTGAAGAGTCCATTAAATACTTTCTACTTGCATGTACACTATACTATTGTTAGAGACAGGTGATGATATCAAGTATATATAAATGCCCTGGGATTCCCTCTCTTATCTGTGCGTGTGCTCCTTGGTGGAGGCAATTATTCCACAAGCAACTACCATATATCTCACACAAACTGGTTGACTTGCTACTGGAAGCCTACTGGTTCCAACAATGATTTGCCCTGAACAAGAGAAATATTTACAATCTGGTGAGCTGGCGCCTATAGAGAGAAGAATGAAACTGAAAAAATGAAAGAAACTAAAAGAAGTATGATGATGTTTTGAACTAAATGATCAATGCAGAGTCCAGGTGTTGCAAATGATCAACATGTGATTTTTTCTTCACCTTCAACCCACCACCACCAAAACTTAGCAGTTGATCATGATATATGCATGTGCAAAACTACCAGTACCTTGTTTGGAACATAAGTTGTTGAATACTGCGCAGCCTAAATGTAATTATTATATGCTTGCAGTTAGGCTGGTTCATCAATAATGAGGAAGTAAATTAAACCCACCAAGCAAATATTTAATGATTCCATGTATTGTTTAAATTTAAAAATGCATTACTCACACCTGAGTCACTGTATTCATGAAGTTAGGGTAGATTCTTCTAGATCTAATCATTCTTATTCTAATAAATATGATGCTCATTGAATTTTCTTTGCAGACTTAAAACTGTTGATTGATTTTATCAGCTACAGTGACACTTGGCTGTTGTGAATAAAATTTGAGAAATGGTGAAGGTGGAGATAGAATATTGGTAAGTGTTGCACAACTTATAGTACCTATATAATAATATAAGCGAGGTATACATTTCTTGCTAAGTTGCTTGTTAGACTTTTAGCTATGTAAGCTAAACTTATCACATACCGATACATGCATTGAAAATGTCCTTTTCCATGCCAAAACTAGAGCTTTTATGTCATCTTTTGGCCTCAATACCACTATTTCCTCTCTAATTGTTGTCATGTATAACTAAACAATTGCAATACCTACAATACTTCAAATTATCCTGAACATGTGAATTTGGGGTTGCAATAATTCAGTATGTAACTAATTGTGATTGTCAGTTTCTCATATCAACCATGTCCAGGAGTTTGAAACATTTTGTCTTGTTTTAAGTACCTAGTGTGAAATATATTGGCATTTCATTAATTTGCATGCAAAGGCATGGTGGGCGAAAACATTGTGGGAAAAAATATGTCCTGCACAGAAAATAGTTTAAACATGGATGCAGGCTGTACAGTTGCATGCAAATTTACACTTGTGTTGCTCAACTTTTCAGGTATGTGTATTAGTGACTGCATAAAGTTGTTGTGTTGTAAATGTGTTGCTAGATAAACTGGTAATGATGTCATATATCTGAAAAAGAGCAAGGTTTTAGTGGAGAGGTTGGCAGTTGATTACTGCATTCTGCTGGCCCATGCTGCTCGCCCCACTGTCTAGAGGCACCATAGAAGTTTAAAAAAAAACTTTGTGTTTTGTAGCAGGTTGTATTAAGTTTCCATTCATGTGTCTATGATTAGACTGTAAATAACAGTCACATTTTCAAAGTTCTCCACATGTAAATCACTGAGAAACTAATGATATTCATGATCATCTTAAAATTCTAAAATGTAAAATCCTGTGAATGCAATGAAGAAAATTTCTATAAATATTTATTTTCAATTTGATGCAATCAATCTTGGAAATGTATGACTAATTCATAATTTTCATCAGACCTGGTCTATGTAAGGGAGGAGCTTCTGAATTTTATCAAAAAGAGCCTTCATCATCTGAAGTTCCAATAGAAATGATGTATTAAAAGCTGGTTAATTTCCTGACAAAATGAAATGCAACTATATGCATCTTCTGCATGCATTGAGCCATTTTCTAAAATGCCCTGGAGTTTGTCTAACAAATTATCATGGTTTCAGTGGTGGATGAGGTTATGCCCCCCGGTATGAGGAGCTCGCGCGCCTCATACGGGCTAAGGTGCCTTCTGCAGAAGTCGCTGGATTCGTTGGCAGAAGGAGTGAGTATTGTAATAATTTTTAATTATTGAACATTTTAATTTGCAAAGAAAGTGATAAAATTTCAAAGATTTTTTATTTGAGGCAAAAATATCTTGAGGGCATACTTTGGTCAATAAAAACCATGTGACTGCAAAATTGTTCTTTCCTTTGTAGACAGCAGTCAAGGGCTTCATAAAGTGTGGAGTTGAGATGTGGCTCAATTTAGGAGCTAAAAAAATTAATTAAGGCTACATATAGTGTGAGGCCTTAGACAGACATTTCAATTTAGATTTATCATGAATTGAATTAAATGTCAAGAGGATACCATTGTTTACAATGCTGAAAATATTGTTCAATAACTGTTCACCTATTTGAATGTGTGTTTGCATAGAGGAGGTTAATGTAAATGCAAATATCATTTAAAGTAGTTGAGTAAAACGTTTGCCAAACCTTGTATTAACAAATAAAGTTTGGCATGCTATTCACTATGAACTTCTACTCCATTTAATGTCAAATTGAAAGATGATTTGGGGTGCTAATTTTGTAAACTGTTGAGTACATTACTGCTATATTCCATGTGCTAATTATAAGACTCCAGCTGTATATTGCCATCACGACTTTCATGCACAACTGCCTTGTCACTCATTTCTTTCTCTTGGTGTGTTGAAATAAATAGCTTCTTTTGTGGTCACTCATCAATCACTTTTGATTCCTAATAATTTCTTGAATGATTAAAATTTGATGAAAGAAAAAATTTCTTGCTTGAGCACTGATGTACTAAAAAAACAATTACTAATATAAATATCAAGTTTGGAAAACATTTTTTCTGTGGTATCTATACAGAACAAAAATATCTTCTGTTAAAATCGGTACTATCTTCATTTTAATGAAGCACAGAATATTGACATTTTTGTGGGGAACATGGAAATCAAATGCATGTAATGTGAATGAGATATTTTTGTTGTTGTTTTTTCTATTTCTTGAGGGCCTATTCTCTGATTCATGCACTCAAAACTCATTGATTCATTCTCTGTTGTGTACTCATAGAAAACCAATATGTTTCAATTTTCCAAGTCGGTCAAGTAATGTGTTTGTCTTGTCATTATGTGTGCACAGCTTCATTTGAAGTACGGGTGGCTGGTTCAGATGTTCACTCTAAGCTGAGCACAATGGCTTTCCCAGACTTCAATGAAGTGTCAGATATTGTGGCTGAGGTGGAGGCAGGGGCTCCTCCAAGAACTGTTAAAAACACATGCAGTGATGGAGCTTGTGTGCTCATGTAGCTTTCACTAACTAGGGGTATGTATGCTGGTCAACAAATATCTTATTTCGTTCACAGTCTACTGCAGTTTCTCTTATAACTGTTAATCTTATTCTATTTATACTACCGCTTACTTATGTCAGTTATGTGTAACGTTCTCTCGAAGTTTGATTGAACCAGACGCCGCGATTACTGCTCATCGCGGCGTCTGCTGCTAATAATACTTGCATATCTATCATATCACCAGAGGTGGGCAGTAGCGCGCTACATGTAGCGGCCGCTACTAGCGGCCGCTACATTTTCAGTAGCGGTAGCGGCTCTACATTTAAGGCAATGTAGCGGTAGCGGTAGCGCCCGCTACATATTTAAGTAGCGATACGAGGCTTTGCCGCTACAGCGCTACCGCCACATTTATAGATAAAGCCTTTAGATTTTACTTAAGGGGACCGGCTACCCTCCAACAAAACTTTTTTGTTTACAGACGGATCGTTTTGAAACATGGTACACATAGGTAAAACAGAAATCTAAGACCTTTTTGTTCATGTAAATTTAAACAAAAATGAAAGAAAACGTGGATTAATAGAAAACGGCAAATAAGGGGTACTTTAAAAAAGTTTATAACTGTTGCAAATCACATGGTACAATGTCGAGACACATAGCATTCGATTTGTAACTACAATATCTAGCGACTGTAGAGCCCCGATTTTTTATTTTCTCATCGTTTTTTTCGCGTTCTTCTCATTTTTTCACATTTTTACCCCACCTTCCTCCCCCTCCCATATATAAGTCAAACCATGCACATATTAAAAAAAGGCTTCGCGAGTCGCTAGGTATTGTTTTTAAAAATCGAATGGTATGTCTCTCATTGCCGTAGCTTGAAAACTGTTGGAGTTATAATTTTTTTAAGATGGCGTTTTTTGAATGTTTAAATTGTTTAGGGGAGCACAATAGACTAAAATTCATTGAACACAGAAGAATATGCCCAAAAAGTCTTTATATTGTAGCCCAAGCTTTCCCATTGCCAATTATTTGCATTCAGGGTACCAGCACGCGTCTTTAGACCTATTTATATGTTCAATTTAACGTGAATAATAGGCTATAAATGGGACTTTTTATATATAAATATATATATATAAAATATTCATTTTACATAACTTTACAACTGCATTACGCAAAAACTATTGCATGAACAACCATGGTAGTAGCTTTGTTAAACGCGTCTTGTTTGTAGCTTTCAAACGAGTGCAAACACTTTGCAATTAACTTAAATAATGACATATAAATACCATTTATTTGTAAATAATGATGTAAAATGATCATTTTATAAAAGTTCAAGACTGCATTACACAAAAAAGTGTTGCATGTACATCTATGGTAGTAGCTTTGTTGAACGCGTCTCGTTTGTAGCTTTGAAACGATTGCAAACACTTTGTAATTAACGAGAGTAATGATCTATATATACAGATTTAATTCAAATAAATCTTTGTACATATTGTTAAAAAATGTTCATATATATATTTTTAAAATTATAGCACGCACAGACATGCGGTAAACTGCGTTAGACGCGCCTTTTCAGCAGCTACAAAATGAGTCAAGAAAACGGTAAAGCCAAAATTTCTGATTTTAGGGTAGCCGGTCCCCTTAATAGTAGTAAATATTATTTAAAAACCAGCATGATACATACATAATAAAAATTACAGAATAAAACTGTACGAAAGATTTCAGTGTAATGTTGTCAACCTCAGCCTGTTACTAGTGTCAACATGTTAGTTGTTACTTGTTAAGTTGTTACCAGTTACCACTTACAGGTTTTTCTTCACGTTTCAGTTTGCTTACAGTTATTTTTATGTTTCACCTTCCCTACATGGATGTCTACTTTAATCTACCAATCTCAAAAATAATCCACATATGTATACAAAAAAGACTAATTTTTATATGTATATGTGGATAATTTCTTAGATTGGTAGATTAAAGTTCACATCCATGTAGGGAAGGTAAAACATAAAAATAACTGTAACTTCTATTTACTGTATCTAACCCTGGGGTACCCCATACTAGTTCGGTTAGGTTAATTGCAATAAAGTTGCTTTGATATGTTTTAAAAATGCTTTATTATCATTAAATGTTAATGAGTAAATCCCAATAGCAGAACAATAAATATTTGGAGATTTCCAATAATTTTGTCCATTGTAGCGGCTAATGTAGCGCGCTACCTTTTTCTGTAGCGGTAGCGGTAGCGCCCGTTACAATCTAGTGGGTGTAGCGGTAGCGGTAGCGCCCGCTACATTTAGAGCATGTAGCGGTAGCGGTAGCGCCCGCTACATTTAGAGCATGTAGCGGTAGCGGTAGCGCCCGCTACATTTAGAGCATGTAGCGGTAGCGGTAGCGCCGCTACATTTCCAAGTAGCGCTGCCCAGCTCTGCATATCACTTTGTCTTGCATTCTTTCCTCTTGGTGTTCAAAAATGTAAGTTAAGTGAACAGACTAAACAAATGTCTTGCATGCAAAATTGTGTCTTTATTCTAATTCAAATTTGGAGTGCATGTCAACAGTAAGTATCGAATCACATTGCATTTGAAGATAAATTTTCTCGTTGAATTTCCTGTTGCTCCCACGAATGTAAATGATCATTGAGATATATTTATTTCTGACTGATTCTCAAGCACTTACCATTACCAAGCACATACTTTCATATATCTTATGTTCTCTGCTAATGTTATTTATCTCGTCAGTGTCGTTTGAAGTGACTGTGGATGGCACTGTCATTTTCTCCAAGCTGGAGCGCGGAGCGTTCCCAGATTTCGAAGAGTCCGTGAAGTCTGTGCAGCAGGCGGCAGAAGGTGGAAAGCCCCATCACGTCACAGGGACGCAGTCCTCCTGCACTATCCTCTAATGTAGCGCTTTTATTTCTCCTCTGGGCCACAGTGTAGACAAGATGCAGTAAGTTGTTTCAGGGAAGGTGAGCCATGTTAGTTGGCACTGGCTGAAAAATGCTTGTGTTTAGATTAAAATAGTTAAATAGTCGCGGGGCTAACTTAAGAGTCTAAATAAATAAATAAACCATTTCTCTTAATACGTTAGCCCAGGGGTTAGGAAAATAAGCAATGCATTTGTAAGAGGATAGACAGGTCCGTATCATAGATGCTGCCAGCAGCGACGTGGCGTTCAGGTTGTCGTCTGTCGTTCCCCTCGCTATGACGGCCCCGTTTAAAGGCTATTGAGGCCCTACGGTGACTTGACTCCTCTTGAGGGAAGTGACAGCACCACACCCTGTTGCCTGACGCTGCTGCGGTGCCTTATAGGGTACTCCATACCCGTGGCTATAATAACTTAACTTATAATCTACTGTGTCAATCTGGGTCTTGTCGGTAGTGTACGAGAATTTCCATCGTTTTCTTTACATTCACTTCATCCGACTATGCTTATGAGGTTTTATAGATGTATAGAGATGGCATGATTGTAGTAAAATTTTAAACGGCTACACGCACGCATTTTCATCATCTATTATTTAACTAATTGCAAATGAACTGGTTTCGAAAACAAATCTCTAGTTCGCAACTACATGTATCCGCGGGGACATCAGCCTGTGTCAACAAGATATATTTACGACCTATTAAATTCTTGTTCTCAATTGTTCACACTTAATTAATTGTTCTTAACACGTTGACTCCGAAGTGGTACATATGCGTACCACGAAGCGTTTTACTCCAGGACGTAGTGGTACATAGTTCAGGTTGCCAGATGAACTAAAAAGCCACTCCGGTGTAAAAAAAAAAGCATGGAAGCACTCTGGTGTAGAAATTCCATTTCTATTTTTGCAATTTTTTACATTTAATTAAGAAATACCCCTATCATAAATTTTAGACGGTCAACGCAATTGAAAAATTAAATCGTGGAATTCTGAAAATATACCGTCTTGCAACCGTGTTTCATAATAGGTAGTACAAAAAAAAATCAGAGTCAACGTGGTAATGTTTTGTCGAAAAATGAACGTTCTTTCCATGGTTCCATTTTTGATTCGATTGATTTCAAGACATTTTGAACTTCACAAGAAATAGGGGTGAAGGCGCTAGACTAGTTCACTTTCATTGTTGTACGTTTTTACCATGTCCCACTGTTCGAGAACAGTCACAATTTGCGTCTTAATTGATTTTTAAATAAAAATGTTAAATGTAAGTTTTTCTGTCCATGAAATTGGCTGTGCCAATTTCTCCAATCCTTACTCAACAATGCGAGCGCATATCAATTTTTACAACTAATAATAAATTAACTTCAATGGGTACGTTTATGTTCAAATGGAAGTTCAGTAAATATGCAAGATGAAGCATTGAAGTTACATAGATTATCCACGACGCTTCTCGCTAGAGTTCTTATTTATCTAGGTGGAATATGAAAGTACACATCAGGCTCGAGGATTAACAATGTGTAATTATTTGTAATAAAATTTGCGAAAGGAATAGTTCGAAGATACTGCACGTGCGCTGTTACTTGCTGGCGTCCAGCACAAGCATTCACTTCAAGAGGGACCACTTGAGCTGTTCGCGTGCAGACTGCAGCACCTGTCGGAGATAACTTAGGTGTTTATTTCGAAGCCACAAATGTTACTTGAAGATGTGTCGCACAAGCTAATTGGATGCTTAAGGGGCCGTCAAGCCCTATAAATGCAAATGTAATGGTCAAAGCTCTGATATTTGTATCAGATTTTTTTTTTTGCTTGCAAGTATAACAGAATATTTTATCCGTTCAACACTAAAATAGAAGCAGCTTGGAAGGTAGATGTAACCGTGGCAACTCCTTTAATTTGAAACAAAACCCTGTTCGACATTTATCTTGTAAATTATATCACATCAAGTTCTAATCTTAAAGAACTCTGTTTCTCCTAAAACTAGAGTCGGTTCAAAAACAAGAAATTTGCAGGAGAAAAAAGTAATAGTCGAATTGAAACTTGCAGGAGCAAGTTAGTGCAATTCCTGGAAAGAAAAATAAGAAAAATACAGTCCTTGAAAATTAAGTCATAGCTGTAAATAAGAATGCCTCAAAACAGAAACCATGTCCCAAAAAGCGATCACTCTTCACAACTCTGAGGCAATAAAAACAGGGCAATGCTAACTCACAGCGCCAGTGGTTGACCCAATTTTTTGCTTCAGCTGTTACAGGGAAAAATTTTTTTATGTGGATGAAATCTTAGAAGAAAAAATTACAGGTTAAGTGACCAGTAAATTATTCTACAAATCTACTGGGTAACTGAGTATCAATTAAATCAAATACTTTCGATTATGATATTAAAATCGCGATCGTTTATTTAAGAAAAAAAATTCAGTCACAGCAAGTTTGGGATCTAGTATATGACGACTCAAGCTAAACACAAACTGGAACTTTTATTCTCTAAACTTCATGCTTGTTTTCACTTAAATGATTTGAAATTCTTTAGCGCACACAGCAAGCTCATAATTTGATTCAAAATGATGTCATAAAATGAGATAGGAAATAGTTTATGAGATTACTTGCCTGTGTCACAGTTTGATCATTGAAGGGAGACTCCTCTACTCGTAAAGAAACTCGCTGTGCTACCACTTGAGGATCAGTCTCAAGGGGTATTCTGTGGAGATGAAACATTCATATACACTTGTTTACACATTTTATTTTACTAATGAACCATAAAGACAATAAAGTAAGTGAGGAATTGGTTGCTGGTCATTAGGCTATACTAAATCATCTTAGAATATAATTTTATAGTATTATCAGCTGCTAATTATAGTTGACCTTCAATAGTTTTACAAGGCACCAGTTACCCACCCTCCATCACAGATTTCATCAAAAGCAAGCATGATGATGTCCAAGTTGTCCAGCAAAGTTCGCTTCTCCACATTTTTGCGGAGTATGGTTGACACTGATTCATATAAACAGTTCAGAACTGATTGTAGAATCAACTGGATGGGCATTGAAAAAAAGTATTAAAATTTTAAACTTAAACAGATTTGAAATTATTACATTGTTATTAAAGAAAGATAATTCAATATCCAACAAAACTCAAAGTCTAGCATACAATTTATTCCTATTATCAATGAACAGTCTAACTCTACTTCTTTGGCTCTATGTGTGGGTTATTTCAGAGCTGAGATTAGATATGTCAAATTCAATAAATGTGACACAACTTGCCTCATTTTCTTGAGATGAACCAATAACATAGAAGTACAGATCAACATTGGAGCGGTAGACACAAGTGAGGCGGTTGATCATGGTTATCTCAGCATTGGCTCTGTTGAAAAGCTGCTTTTCAAACTTCTTTTCTTCCTTGACTGAAGGGAAGATAGTGGGATCATAATACTTGGTGAGGAGTCGATTGCCATCACTGTCAAGGATGGCCATTCCCTTGACCATGTATAGTGTTGGCTCCTGTAAAAAAAATCATTTGTTTGTCAAATGAACAAGTATTTACAAAATAGGAAAATAATGTATTATACCAGCATTGCTTGAGAGATTGTGTTCTTTCCATGGGACCCAATGAACTAAAAAATTTTACTGCCAAATATTGATTATTATCAACTGGGGTGACTCTAATCAGAATTGGAGTGACTTTTGTAATGACAGATACTAGGTGCAGCCTTGAGGTACATTTGCCACCAAAGTTTCCCTAGTCAACTGATTTAGACATTAATGCCTTTGAGCATAACTTCAAATAAGACAGAAATTAGAAAACATCATTTTAGATGAATAAAATTACACTCACAGAAAGCCAATTCATTTCCACAAATCCAAAATTTTCAATATTACATTAGCTATGCAAATTTCCAAAAATAACCATTAAGAAATATATTAGAGTGGACAAGCTGCCAAAGAAACCCAGTCAAATGTTCAACAGCAGGCATCTTAAATGTTTAACAGCAGGCATTTTTCTTTTACTTTAACCCTAATCACCTTGGGTTTTCATGTCATGCTACAACCTTAGCTGCAATGAAATCTGCTTTTAATTCAATTAAGTATCTTTTAGGTGCCTTCTGTTGTACATATGCAGTGATTATTTTACCAGGCATTGATATAGATTTTTTCCTATCAAATGCAGTCTTCAAACACACAATTGTGAACTCAAATCCAGTTATAAAAATTTTAAGAATGAAAGGACTGAATTTCTGGCCTCATGCAGAGCCAATTCCATGTATGAAAACTCTGACCACTCAATATTGTGGCAATTTTACCCATCGGGAGGAGACTAAGTACATTCACATGTATGAGACATTCACATGTACATGTGTGCCTGAAAACCATGTGCATCTTTATTGCTAGTGCATGAGCATCTTCATCTCCAGTGCATCTGCATCTTCAATGCTAATTTCTTTCTCCAAGTTTATTTGTTCCAATAGTTTTTCTATCTCATTGTCTGCAAGTACATCGCCTGCCATTGCTAAAACTACATGAAATGTGGTGTATGAGATGCAGCAAAGAGTTCAAGTACCTCTACCTCTGTTCCTTGCTGAACACTGATATCATAAGTTTGACAGGGGCACAGCTTGCGGCCGCTGGGCAGAGCTGCTCACATGGTTGTAGAAGTTTTTGCCCGGTTTGCTATATGACACCTAACTATTGTAGATCAAAATTGCTACAATATTATTGATCCAACAACTATAGAATAGATCACAGTTGAAGAGTGTCTTGATAGACAACGCTGTGAGATTTGTGATTATTTTTTACGCAGGTTATTATAAATGAAGGGCATTTTCCCGCAAACTGGTGTAGATTAGGATTAAAATCAAGAGAAAATGAAAGGGAATTTCCCGCAAACCTGTGCAGATTAGGGTTAAAATCAAGAGAAAATCAAGTGCAGTAGGAGTGGATTTCTTTACCATCCGTATGACAAAATTTTCAATTTAACTCAATCACAGAGTAGAAACATGATAAAATCAACTGCCTAGTGTAATGAGTGTGTAAACAAAATAAAAAAGCAGCTAAATTCAATAATTAACCCTTTCATGGGACAGTTGCCAATCTTGGTCACTTGAAATTGCCTCACAAAGAGACCTACCATTTCATTCTGGTTTGTGTTTGAGGCTTCCTTGTCATGCCTCAGTCAATCACTAATTATCTGACCATCATTCCATGCACAGCATCACCACCTGCCATGCCAAAAAAATAAAATAAGAGAATTTAAATGAAAGTTTTGACTTGGATGATGAAATTGATACTATTGCCATATTTTTGTAAAAAGCAGATGTATCAATATATATTCAATTATTTAAGGTAACTTGATTGAATTGAATTAAATTATATTTTTATGTTCTTAATTTTTATTATTTGCAAAAACTAAATTTTAATTAGAAAGAAAATATTCCAAGTAGTGATCTCATGTAAGAAATTCTTCAAGTGTGAATTTAAGCTCCAACCTGCAAAAGTTTTGAAAATAACTAAGAATAAATATTTTGTATAATACCTATACTTCTTACTTTCTTGAATTAGTTTCTGAAATTTTAATTTTTGGAAATTTCAATGCTTTCCCATGAAAAGGTTAATATTACAAATAATATATTAGTACTTGGTACTACGTTGGAGTTATTTTTTACAAAATTTTAATTACACGATTCTCAAATCATGTACAAATATGATATCTTTTTCAAGAATATTGGAAATGAAACTAGAAAATTAGGCAGAAGCCCCATAAAATCAAGACAAACACACCCATATGTACACTTGTACAGGCAATTCATTCCATTTATATTGTCCTTCCCTAATTCAATAAAAATAAAGAAAAATGGAAACTATTGCTTACAGTTTTCAAAAATCTCCTCTGAAATCATTATTTTATGCATTTTTTTAATCCTGCCCAATATTCCACTTGGATATAGGCTTACAATGAATATTGGTCAAAAATATTCACTTGCTGTTGTTGACAAACCTATCACTTTCAAACCTGAAACTTGGTCAGAAGCAACCAATGCATAGTGGCAAAGGATAGCTTTATTTTTGCCCTTACTCAGGTTGATTTTTGAGTCCCATAAGGAAAGCAGTTAGTATTTTGGATACCAGTATTATCATACATAAGAAATTCATTAAAATATTGAGTAGATGACTAAATTTTCGAATGAACCAATTCTAAAAATCTCTGGTTGGCTACTATGCACCAATACCGTAAAATGGGGTTACTTGTCAATGACCATCAAATCAAATTTGATTTGATTTGAAATTAGATGACCATCAAATTTGTCAATGGCCATCAAAGGCCTGATACTGAGGCTATGTAACACAATAGACAGATTTAAAAAGTTTTCATATCTAATAGGTTAAAAAATTAAAAATGTGACCCACAAAAAAGAGCTATTATTTAAAGCCTGTCGGAGTACCCCCTCCAAATTTTTTATTTTTTGGTGAAATAACTCCAGGTTTTGATGCATTGTAGTAGAACTTTTCTAGTTACATACCGGTATGCAAAAGACAAATTTTAGGAAAGTGTCATAGTTTGCAAATGGGGGCGCCGCCCCCCAATGGGGTAACTTTGACCACCTAATGGCAGCCGTGATGGGGTAACATTGACCGGCTTGGAAATTAAGTTAAAATTACCATAGGTACCTATATAACATATTTTATGTTTGATAGACCTAATAATTTTTTTTTCTTTATGTTTCAGACTCTACAGAGTCTTATATATGGTAATTTTAACTTAATTTCCAAACCGTGTTTCAGACTCTACAGAGTCTTATATATGGTAATTTTAACTTAATTTCCAAACCGGTCAATGTTACCCCATCACGGCTGCCATTAGATGGTCACATTTCGCCTATTTGGGGGCGGCGCCTCCCATTTGCAAACTATGACATTTTCATAAAATTTGTCTTTTGCATATGTAACTAGAAGAGTTCTACTACAATGCACCACAACCTGGTGTTATTTGGAGTTATTTTACCAAAAAATAAAATTGATTTTACCACCTGGTCAAAGAAACCCCATGAGCTGGGGTAACAAAGACCATCACTTTTTTTGAAATTACATCAAAACTATGAGAGGCAGGAGCCAGCAATTTATGGTGAGTAAAGCTAGAGTATAGACCTGTATTTTGCATGTTTCAATTTAAGTTTAACTTATCTAGTGAAAAAATGGCATCATTTTGAAAAAAGAAAGTGGTCAAAGTTACCCCATTTTACGGTGCCCAAGACAAGAAGGCCCATAATTATAGAGTTAGGTACACTTACACCCATGCCTAAATTGCCCATGACTCTCCTTCAATTTCTCCATCAGAAAATGAAAAAAAAATTCAGCAGAAAATTTCTTTAATGCTACTAATTTCACTGTAGTTGCAGTTGCAGCTCCAGCTGCTTGGCTCCAGCTGACTTGATTCACAAAATTCATCTAAAATAGGTATGTGCCTTCAGTTCAGAACATCACATTTTAGCAAAATGTAAGACTTTTCCAATTTTGCACCATTGATTGTAGGAAATATCTGCAGTCCAATTCCAGCCAAATTTCAGTCTGACCGAAATGTGGAATACCATTAATCAAGCATTACATTTACAGAACGAGTTGATCTTACGTTTCCGCCTAAATATTAGGAAAAATACTTACAAATAACCCTGACATATTGTAGTAACACAGAGATCTGAGGAAAGAGCAACAGACTACGTGTCACTTTGGATATCAACAAACCGCGCGGAATGGTGACAACTGTCTGTCAAGCAAGAAGTAGAGAACTCAGCCGTTTCTAAGCAAAATTTAATTACAAAATAATTTATTTGCTTCAAAACCTAGAAGTTAATGGGCACTAAAATTGTTGCAATCCCATCAAACAATCCCTCCGTAAAGAAACAAATTTACGGAGTTTTGTTTATTATTCAAAACCATTGTCTATAATTATATTTTTGCAGGTTTACAAACATTACAATACACAATAACATTTAGTAACATTTGCACTTCTATCACACGTGTTGTAAACGATATAAAAATTCATGCAATGAGGTATGATAGGATAAGAGGCAGTAATAAGTGATTGAATAAGCTCATTTCAGAAATAATAAATCCCACTCATTATTGCGTAGTTTGAATAGATGAATGACTAAACTATTTCATTGTAGTAATTAAATTTTCATATCAATGCATTTCTCTAACGCAAGCCGTTGTAATTGCTGCAAAGGTAACACATAAAACGTTTCTGTTACAACCATATGGGCATGAACATCCACAATTAATGCACGACTAGATATATTAGCTTACTGACGAAAGTACAGCCAATGTTTTTCCCTTAGACGTGAAGATCTAAAAAATAATAACATTGTTCATGCCCGCAGCATATGACAAGAATTTAGATAGGTTTCGCGCTTCATGGTATACAATAGCGTGAGTAGGATATTCTTGTCTTGGATGGCAAAAAAAATCATGCGAGATTCAGTCCTTCGAGAATTCGTGCCCGGAATAACGAACGTTAATTATTCTCAAAATTGCCAGGAAAGCGCTAACTAAATATCCCGACTGTCAAACCGACGAGTGTTTGGACGAAATATACGGTTTCGCAAATACTGTAGCTCAAAAAACCGCACTCAACCATACAACGGAACAAGACTAAAAAGGTGCTTGTACACACCGGTCGGACTAAAGCGCGTAAGCGTTAGCGTGGGCCAGCCCGGCCCTGAACCTGCCCTACGCCTGCTTTCCCTTTAGCCACGTTTTATTCCCTCAATTCGTAACCAATAATTATGAAATTAAATACATGGTTTCACATGCTTATTGCGCAGTGGCGATCATTTTTTTACATTTTTACATAAGAATGCATTACCATTAAGGGTGGATACCAAACCTATTCATTTCTGGTATACCAGCCTGGGCCCATACCAGTATAATAGCAGATCGTACGCCCCGTCATTAAAACACATAAAACGACGATTTTGAAGTCGAGAGTCTTCGCAGGTTAGGTTAAGTCTGCCAATTTTTTTAGTAAAAAAAAACTTTGCTGACTTGACCTAACCTTGAGGTCCCTCGATGAGAATAAAACGTAGCTACGGGACTGAATTCGCCCGTTTGCACACGTTTTATTTGCAAAGGAGATGAGGTAAAATTGTAAAAAAAATCGGCGCGTAGTGCGCAATAAACATGTGAAACCATGTATTTAATTTCATAATTATTGGTTACGAATTGAGGGAATAAAACGTGGTTAAAGGGAAAGAAGGTGTAGGGCAGGTTCAAAGCCGGGCTGGCGGCACGCTGTAACACAAACTGACGCTCACGCGCTTTTGTCCGACCGGTCTTGTGCACGGGGACAGTACGGGCGGCAATTAGATCTGGCAAATGTCGGCCGCTTGGTGACTATCCGGCAAGTAAGCTTAGACACAAGGCAAAGCACGAAGACACGATGAAGTGCAGCATTGAGGGAGGGGAGGAGCAGACGCTCCAACACCTTTACAGATGGGCACAGGAGGGAAATGGGTCGTATGAGGAGCTTATGGACGGAGGTTTGCCCGGCTTTGGGATGGCAATGATTGTGTGGCTGAATTCCAAATGGCAGGGATGTCGGCCTTGGCAAGGGACAGGTTGAATAGTTCGGTGAAGTACTGGATGCCTCTGGGACCCAGATGACGGAGGTGAAGGATAGTGAGGGAGTCCGGGCCAGTGGCAGTGGAGGTACCCGAGCTCCAAACTGCCTGTCTGGTCTGATTCGGAGTGAAGCGGGGTGTGTGTCGGAGAGAGGATTGCGGCGCTTGATGCCTCTGTAGGTGGACCTGCAGGAGGGGTCACGTTGGTGATGGGAACCATCGTAAATTGCCGGCAGAAGGACGAGGCTATAATATGGTCTGCGGTGACATGGGAATTATTGAAGGAAATGGGTTGGTTAGGGGCTTGTCTGGTTGATTTGCCCGAGAGGAGCGCAGGAGCGACAAAAATTTGGCTGGATTTCTCTGCAGGTTGGTTGACTGGACATTCTTAATCCAGGTTGCACGGGAGTGAGTGGAAATGGCGGCTGAGATATTGTTGTTAAGGTCCGGTTGGCTGGGGTGGTTGGGGTTCAGGGCTCGGGCCCTGTCACGCTCTTGAATGAGAGGGATGGCAGATGGTGGAAGGTTGGGAATGAAATGTCTCCTACATCCGCGGGGGATGTGTCGGCGGGACGCCAAGGTGAGAATTCTCCTAAAGAGGATTCTAAGAGGGGAATCCTCCCTAAAGAGGATTCTAAGAGGAGAATCATCCTACAGAGGATCCCTCCTCCCCCCTCCCTGGGAGCAGGAGGGGGGAGCAGCAGCGCTAAAGGCGGCCTCTGTATCGGCGGTGTAGCCATCCCAGTCTGCTCGACGGAAGTTGTTGTAACTGCGGGTAGGACGGTTATTTGGGGGTTCAAGGAGTCCAGGGAGATGGGAAGGTGGTCAGAGTTGAGGCGGGCTAGTGAGGTCCAGACAGCGTTCAGGGCCATATGAGGGCTGATGAGGGTGAGGTCGAGCGACGAAGGGGCTCCTTGCTACGGGAGCCTGGTTGGAGTGACTTGGTTGAGGAGAATTAACTGGCTCGAGTCTATTTGGTTGATTAAGGCTGCGCCTCGGGCAGCCGCGCGGTCACCCTGAGTAGCGGAGAACCACGCAGGGTTATGAGCGTTGAAGTCGCCCATAAGAATAGTGTTATGGGCGTCCAGCTTGAGCAGTGGGGACAAGGAGGGCGAGAAGCCAGGGGGACATGAAGTGGGTGGTGGGATGTAGATGTTATAGAGGTGGAATTGTGCACCATCAATAGAGATGGAGAATAATTTGGAGATGGCCTGGTGTTCCGTTGTGGAATCACCAGGGAACAGATGGTCAGATGGGATTGGGGAGTATAAGACGGTGTGATTCACAATGAAAAAGAGACCGCCATCGCCAGTGCGAGGACCAATGGGTTTGTCGCGGCGGACCAAGGTGTAACCGGGGAAGGTTGGGATGTTTGAGGCCTCGGTTAGTTTGCTGTCTTGAATGGCAACGACAAGGACGGAGTGTGTGACCAAGAAGTGGGCCAACTCAACTGCGCAGTGGCGCAGGCCGTTACAGTTGAATTGGAGGAAGTGGGTGAGGGCAGGCGGAGGTCCGTTGGCAAAGAAAGGTGCCCGGAGCACCGTTTATAGACCCAGAGATTGCAGCAATTGCACTGGAAGGAGACTCCCCGCCAGGTGACCGGGCGCCCGCAGACGCCACAAGGGTCAGAGCTGCTAGGGCCGGGGTGAGGGTGGATACCCGCCATCAGGAGAAGGGCGACGGTGACTTTGTCGAGTGGGCGGGCTGCGGCCGAGGACAGGAAAGGCGAAGGGGAGAAGCGACGCCCCACGCGTAGGCGCCGCCAAGCCGAAAAAACGGCTCGCAGCAGGTCCGGGAGTTGTGTCCGTGTTTGGTCCCCCGGGAGCGACGGGTCGCACCGGAGGGGTCCATCCACCACGGAGAGGCCCGGACGTCGGTTGGAGCATACTTCCTAACCAAGTTCATTGAAGAGTACCGCAATTTGCCGTGCTTGTGGAAGGTCGTAGCGCATAATATTCGAACAAATTGCAAAGAGATAAAGCAAATGAATATCTCATTCGAATTACGTGAGAAAAAGTTCCCAATGCAGACCAAAACTTTATTAATAAAATAAATAACCCTTAAATAGTTCCGATAGTCGTTTTGAATTTTGATTATCGTTGCGTATGAAATTTAGCAAATTCATATTGACTGCATCCTTATCGATTGACTAGCCATTCTTTTGACCAACTTGATCTTTTCCTCCGTTGCTCTTTCACTGTCCCGAGCTTATTCAACACGACGGTATGGCCATGATGGCAGCAGCTGCAACTTGCCTCGACGGACTCATCTTTAGCACTGAGCTCTGCGAGCAAAGTACATAGGTGTGTGGTGAAATGTCACCGAATCAGATTCGCTAGTCAGAATCAGCCAGCCGGACTCGCGAGTAGGATACGCTAGTATCTGGGGCGCTTTAAAACCATTCTTGTTCAAATAAGCCATGATTTTCTTCACCCAAGATGCTTCACAAGAGCGGCACAGATGCCCTCACCATAGCATAGCCGCTTGCTCAGCGAACAAAACAACGCACTGGCCGCTTCTCAGCGAAGAAAACAAAACATCGTTGATCCTCCCAGCCGCGTCTCGGCACATGCCACTGAAGCGGCTGAACACGAGGCTAGCAGCGTGGACAGTTCAAGCGGCAGAACAACTGGCGGCCAGTGCTGTCCCCGTATAAAGGCACCTTTAGCCTAGTCGGCAACGAGGTTATCAGTTCGGTGACTTTAAAATTTTGCAATAAATCTTTAATAAAGGTTAGCAAACATTACAATCTGCGCGATTCAGTTGCAAATGTCTTTACTACCTGGAAATTTGAGAAAATGTAATGGAACCGGGATATTTTGAGCAATTAAAAATCCTTACTCTTTGTGTAGTGACTGTAATTCACATTCGCACAAGTACGAGTTACGAATAACATTTAAACAGCAAATAAATGGTACGTGAAGTGTAAAAAAAACTGCTTGGCCTTCTCGCTCAATTGGTTGCGGTGGCTCTGGTGAAGTTGAGTCGAGAATAAAGCGCCTACTACCAAACTAATATTTCAAAATGAACAATAGCAACAGGATCTGGATGAACTTGGCAAAATGGGGTCAGATGTAATAGTACCCATTCATGTTTAAAACACTGTTTTTGCCCCTTGCAACTTGTATTGAAAATAAAATTAGATTTTCTTCTTGCAGGAAGTAAAATAAACCCAGCAGATCATCGAATAAACTCATCATAAGGTCCAAAGCAAAATGTTCAATTACATTTACAAATACCAATAATTTAGCAATAAATAAAATGACACACCAAATTCACCTTATCTTTATATTACATCTCCATCATCAGTTCAAGATCCAAAAATTATAAGATATATATTATATCCTATAAATACCAGAACTCAAGTTACGAGGTTTAATACAAGTAAAGTTAAAATTCACATTCCCGTGATTCTTTCATGTTTGTTTGTTTTCATTTGTTGATTTAGTTTTTAATAACTACAATGAAAAATTTTTTTGAAAATTGATAGTGCTTGCGTTCTAAGATTTTGAAATGATGGTTACTGGACTCCCGAAACACTTTTCTACAAAGATATGGTGAATTATTGTGTCATTTTCTTTGTTTTTAAATTCTTTGTAAATTTGCGATTCGAGCAATCAATTGCTCGTTTTAATTTACAGAAAAATATAGCAAGAGGATGCAGCCTCTGCTTACGAGAAAGCAGCATTAACACTAGCTTGCGACTGAAGTCCGATATTCGCAGCCCGCGCACATGGGATGATGAGTTGTCAAATAACCATCCACTATTTCGGTAGTGAGGTTCATAATATGGAAGCGTCCGCCTCCTCTGCAAGCTTCGTGGCGTATGCCATATCCCAGTAATGCTCCACGCCATGACGCTTGAAATGGTCACGGGCAAAGCTCTCAGTCGGACACGACTTGAACTGGAGCTGCAATACACATTAAAGATCAATTAGAAAATAATCAATCATCCAAAAGAACTTTTTAGAAGTTAGTTTATCAGCGAAACATTCTCAATAGCAGTTGGGGAATGATTTTCTACCAAGGACCTATTGAAAGACTAAATTATGTTTCTCAAAATTTCAACGGCACAAAATTTTGAGGATACTCAAAATCCATCTTGAAGAAAAGTTGCCGGAAGCCGACGTCACCGATGAGCTTTCCGAAAGTCAAACAAAATTTCCAATAAATTTAAATCTACAGAAATGCGATTTGTTCTACGGTTAAATCTAACCTCTCCGAAGTTTCGCTCGAGTGTCGTTCCCTCCCACACGAGCTGACATTTAGGCTTGATGTTGTTGGTGTTGGCGCGGGCCTCCTCTACCCACTTTATCCTGTTCATCATAAGCTGGCGGTACTTCTTCTGCTGCTTGGGCCCTCCCTCCACCACAACCACGTTGACGTCCTTGAAGAGCACAACAGCCCCCGTCAGGAAGAGCTGCTTAGCGTTCGTCTCAACTTTGAACTTGTGGGACCCGTTGCTCAAGTCGGTTACTCTGCAAGTAGGCGCAAGATATACGAGTTTTCTAATAAATTCTTTTGAAATAATTTTAGCTCAAAATGACGTGTTAATTGACAAGCTATTTCACTCTGCTCTTAAGTTACGCGTGCACCCGTCTCGCCACTCACCTGTAGACAGACACATGCACCCGTCACGCCACTCACCTGTAGACAGACACGTGCACCCGTCACGCCACTCACCTGTAGACAGACACGTGCACCCGTCACGCCACTCACCTGTATACAGACACATGCACCCCTGTGCTGGTATCCTCCTTCAGTTTTGCAAGTCTCTTCTCCTTCCTCTGCTGAGGCGTCAGTTTCCTCTCAGCGTTGGCCTTCTCATGCGCGTGCTGACGCTTAGCCATCTGGTCCCTGACGTGCCGCTCCATCTTGGTGGGGTCAAGCACCGCCTCAGTGCCCAACACTCTCATCAAATTAGCCATTTTAACCTTGGGTTCAGGCGGCGGTTCAAGCCCAAGTCTTATTTTGTCCTGTTTTTCCTTCCATGCCTCGCGCCGGTTCATGCGACGCAGCTTCTTGCGCTCCTTGGCAGTGAGGAACACTTGCAGGGCGACGGGGGCGTCAGTGTCAGTGACACAGTTCACCTCCAGCGGATGTTCTACCAAGTTGGTGATGTAGTCGGTCCGGGGGACGGCCTTCTCACCCGCGCTTGGATACCTTCATGTTCACAAAAACAAGAGTGAAAACTTGGGCAGCGGTGCTGTCATTGACTAACAACCAACTTTGATAGTGGTCTGATGCCAGTAAATAAAATGCATTTATTTGTTTTAACAACTAGATATACCTAATGAAATATTTGTTGCAACTATGATGATGATTTCATCAACATTATATGGGACAGAATAAAAGATTTTTTCTATGTTGTTTTAAGCACAATGACCAACTAATCTTGTGAAAATAATATGCAGAGCATAAAAAGTTCTCGAAATACATATAACTACACAAAATACACTGAAAAATATACATAATCACACATAAATTCATGTTGAATTCCACATCATGGAGCAAAAGCCACAAAAATAGCACCAGTAGCAACAGAAATCAATTACAAAATGTTTTTTTTAACATGTTAAGACTCACAACGGATGCTAACTGCTAGGAATTAAATAAGTTAATCCAAAATGTAAATCAATATTTTTACTTAAAAAAATGTCGACAAAATTATAAATAAGAATTACCTGTGAGACTGCAGAATGACCGAATCCCACCACTCGATGTCAGGAGTCTTGACAGAAATGAGCAGGTCTTTAGAGTCTCCCTGGAGCTCGGCAAGACGAGCGGCAGAGGATATTCCTGTCCGACGAGCCGCAGTTGAGATTTCATTTTGTAGTTTGTCGAGCCGCGCCTTAGCTCGTTCCCGTTGAGCAAGTTGCACAAACTTCCCATGCTCGTGGAATTTAAAATTAAGTTTACTAGGTCGAAGTGATGGGCGTGCTGGAACTCTGGGGTCAAAATAATCTGCCTCAGGCAGCTCATCGAGAGCAGGCTTTTCTGACAGTTTTTCTTTGAACTCTGCTCTCTTTTTAGCCCTGATGTTAGCTTTGAGCGTGGGTGCCCGTGACGTGATGTGTACCTCTTTGCCCATCAAGTCTAAAGTTCTGCCTTCACTGTCCAGGATGATAGGCGGAGGGCGCTCCCCAGGAGGCTTGGGCTGCCCCACAGCACTTCCCATCCCTGGAGTGCTATAAACAGGCATTGGTGTGCTACTCAAGATGGGGTGTACTAGTCCTGGTGGATTTACCAGGCCTGGAATCCCCATAAGACTTGGTACAGGCAGTCCAGCAACTGAGCCCATCTGTGAGCGGATCCTGGCTTGCAGTTCAGCAATCCTGCTGTTGACTTCAGTGCCATTGGTGGATGCCGGAGTAGCTCCATCAGCATCACGAGTTGCTGCAGGAGTGACGCCAATGCTTGATAGAGCCTTCTTGCGCTCCTCTATTGCAGCTTGTGCCTTGGCCATAATATCTTGAATCTGTGACAACCAAATAATATTAGAAAAAACTACAATAGAGTAGCAAAAACTACCCTTATAAACTTTTGCTTCTTGGTTTTCCTCATTTTTAATTGGCGCCAACATCGCTCAAAAAGTTTATAACATGCATAGAAATAGTCAGAGAGCAACAATTCTGTGACTGGAATACCAGCAATGCAATCAACTAGCATTGTAAGCTTGAAGAAAGATCAACACACAAGTTAGTTAGTTTAGTGGCCACATGTTTACTAGCGCTTCAGCTATTTACCTATCTTGCACCGAAAGTCATGTTGAACATCACCAAAGAGGTGGAAGGTCTCAATTATTAAAAGTTTCTCAAATCAAAAATTGTTCATCACCAACTAGGGCGGAAGGCCTCAATTGTCCAGCCTGCTGAAGCTGGCTCGAAAGAAGCAGCGTTAGCATCTCAAAGAGACGAAGTGACAAGGAGGGACAGGTGACAAGGAGGGACAAGTGACAAGGAGGAACAGGTGACAAGGAGGGACAGGTGACAAGGAGGGACAGGTGACAAGGAGGGACAAGTGACAAGGAGGGACAGTGGCAAGGATGGACAGGTGACAAGAAGGGACAGTGATAAGGAGGAACAGGTGACAAGGAGGGACAGGTAAAAAACAACAGAAACTAAGACACTCGAACAAGATGTTGCTTATACGGGACGTCGGCCGCCCGCACGAGAGAGACAGAGAAGGGAAATGTAAGGAATCCTACCAACATAATAACTTAAAGTAATCCTACCTACATTATAACTTAATGTAAGGTATCCTACCTACATAATAACTTAATCCCACAACTGAGATTTGCATAAAGACACCGCGAGCTCAAAGGTGGGGCGCTCAGGAACAATCCCCGATCAACACACAAGGCAGATAAAATTGACAGGTGATAAGATAATCAATCCAGCAAAATACATTAGCATGTATCAGTAAAAGCCGTAATTGCCTAAGTCTCGTTACTTAATATATACAGGCCATGACTGTAGCATAGTGTGGAATAGGTACATGAATGTTGACAAATTGTTAACTAATGGGTGAAGAAACGAATTTGAATAGATAAGTGGGATCAAGAAATATAATTTTAGTAGCAAAAAATAATTTTATAAACTTTGGCAGCAGGCTAGAGTTTTAAATACTAAAAAAGAGATTCACATAACAGGATGCTTTCCCTCTTTTTAAAAAGCCAGGCAAATTCCAATGGGCAGAGGGAAATACTTTACTACGTAAGGCATCATCCCAAAAAGGATCAAATTCCAACCTGCTTTTGATGTAGGGTAATGGTGGGTGCAGATTCACTGGGTGTGCTTGAAGACTGTGAAGAAACAACCTAAAATATGACACAAGAAAATTACATACATTTACATTATTTAAATGCAAGTATTGGTTGAATTGCAACAGTGGCTTTAAGATGCATCCAAGAAAATTCATGTGTTTCATGAACACAACCTCTGAGAGCATAAAATATACACAGTGCCATTTAAGTAATGATCTTGATTATTCCAATATGTACCTATAGAAGTATGAATCTATTACAAATAACACAAGAAATAAATTTTGCTCAATAGAATAATACCACTAAGATCACCAATCACAATTCATCTAAGGAAAATAATGAGTTCAAAGAATAGGTATTTCACAAATATGTTCATAACTTGATTCATCTTACCAATGGCTGCTTGTCCGTCCGTGGCTTCTTGCTTTCTTTGTCATGCCCGTCTTTTGTGTTCTCAGCCTCATCCTTGTGAGAGCGTTTTCTGGAACTACTTTTGTGATTGTCAAGGTCCTCCAATAGAGAGAAGGCCTGAAATATAAAAACAATATCAGTATAGCATTTAACAAAGAACACTAGCAATTCCATGCATCGCAGGTCTTCAGGGCACTAAGCTTTTAAAGAAGAGAAAGTTTTCAATTAACACAAAAGAAACAAAGCAATTTTAATTTTAAATTTGGTGATAGCATTGTTATTTAATATCTAATCATGTTGCAACCTAAGGCTACAACTATGCTTGTTAATCCTAAGATCTTATAACAATTGAATAAGTGATTTTAATTTTATGACAAGAATCAATTAAGACTTATCAGCAGCAGCCATGTGTTTCAACTTTCAACATTTTAGAATCCCATTTAAACTGTTCAAAGTATTCTGTTGCTTTCATAATAGTGTACCGTAACTAAGATACAAATGGGTGGAATTAGTTAGGCAAGGTTCTACAGTATCTTGATTTACCCTTACATGCTATCTTCCATTGAAAAGTATTTGAAATGAAGAAGTTTGAAGTACAATTTCAATGTCAGTTTAAGAGTAAATACTGGAATTCAAAATAAAACAATTATGTGGATATGGGTATTAATAATACAATGATATTTTTCATTACAAAGCAATCTACTTTGAGGCTCACCTTATCAGCAAGTTTAAGGGCAGTGGACTTGTCCACAAGGCCTGCAAGCTTGTCTGCAAGCTTGCGTTTGTCAGCTCCTCCCGTGATGGCATTTGTTATTATTGAAGATGCACTTGATCTTTCTTTTGTCAAATACTTATAGACAAGTTTGTCAATACCAGATTTATATACTTCATACTCTCTTTTTGATAGTGACATAGTGAATAATATTTCATTACAGTTGCATCTGTAATTAGGATGATATTAATTATCACAGAGTAAATCCTGAACACCTCATGCTATAATTAATTTACAAGCCAGCAGTATTCATTCAAAATTTTAGAGGAGAATTTTTGACCATATCAAAATGCACTGATGTACAATAAAGGTTTTGATCTACTTCTTATTTTCTACACCAACTACCGTTGTTGCTGGGAGGCTTTTGTGGCTTGTGTAGCACAGCCTATCTGTGCTTATTTATCCTTGTTATTTGCCTCCGGCCTTGCTTTTACCTCACCTCAATGTCTTTGTCCTCTTCTGTTTCAGTCTCTGTTACAGATATTCATTAACTATAAGCTGAGCCCAATGAATGACACTCAGCTGTGTAACAGAGCGGTCTGACAGTCCTGACCACTTGTGCTTAGCCATGCTGGTTAGTGAATGTTCACCCTTGTATATATATGTTATGTCTGCATTTTAATTAACTTGTGTTTTTGTAAATATGGCATTGGTTCTTGATTTATTATGATTCTTTGATTCATTGCATGCAATACTACTTCATTTTCTCATGATCCCTATTTTAAACAACCAGTCAACTTTACAGGTTGTTTGCATTGCATTGTCATTGCAGTCTGTCATTGCATTGTCAACTGTGTTCACCTTGCAAACCCTTTTGGTTCTTTGGTTACTTAACTTGTTTTGATTCCATTCAATTATGACTATATCCCTTGCTTGCTTTGTTAAGGTTAACTGATAAGTCCCTTGCCATTACTTTACCCTGCAATGCTTGATTACAAATTAATCCTTTCAACCACAGCTTCTCAAATTATACATCCTTTGCTATTTACTAATTTCATTTATTTTTTACAGCTGGCACGGTAATGTCAAGTTCACATTAACCCGGCCTGTGCTCTTCCCTTTATTAGTGATTTTTGGATTTTATTTTGCCTACCGCAAATCTTAATTTTCAGTAATTTTGTAAATATGTGAAGACCTTGTTCATTGGATATTGTTCCTAATAAAATTTAAAACCTTAAAGCTTTCAAAGCTTAAATTTAAACAAGAATTAGCGCTTCCACAAATATTTATTCATTCTCGTTGGCGTGGCCCTTCCTGTTATAAGAGGGGATAAATTGTAACTCACGGTGCGCTGAGACTCACACGATAACACCGTCAAAGGGGTATTAAGTGATGGGTGGGGAAAATTGAGAATGTCATCCCACATTTCATAGAAATGTTGTAGCAGCTAAACTAATTAAAATATTGCAAAACTAAAAATAGTGGCGTAAAGTTCAACATTTTTACTATCTATGTAGCATAAAGCAAGTTAAGAAATCATTCATTTACTACTGTACTGTTGTGGGAAGCCCATTCAGCAATACTGCAAGGAAGTAGGATTTCCTACTAGGGGTCCTGCAAACCCCCCTCTCCTGAGATGCAATGTCATGTCTCATGTGAAATTAAAGTATGAAATTAAATCAAAAGTATGTATCAATTTCAGTGTTGACATCATAGTAAACTGCTCACTATTTGATATGCATCACTAACTTAATCACATTAAAGTTAATGTAACTGACATTTCTTATGGATGAGTGCACTCCTTAGGTTTAACATGTTAATCTTTTTTCTATTTTCAGACTGGGTAAAGCAGGCAAACTTGAATATACCATTATACGATGATATAGACCCCCGTGCCTCGGTTTTGTGCGTGTTCTTTTCTTCTCTGTTCACTGTTTATACCTAGTTCTTTTGTTGTATTGTTCAATAAATTGTTAAATAAACACAAGGAAAATTCTAATAAAAAGGTGGTTTGGGATGGTTGTAGGGGAGGTGGAGACCATCACCAATTCCTTGTTTTCTTGACACCCTTGCAGCAAACACCCTCAGGCCCAAATGTGGCTGGTAGCACAATAAATATAGTTCTACAACATTGGCGCCCGAACAGGGACCTCTGTCCTTTCAACCTACTGTTTCATTTCTGCTTATCCTTCAACCGTTTCACTGCTCCCTTCTTCCAAATCACGACCAGTATGCAGGCCGAGGCACGTGGGGCTGGCCCAGGGGGAGCTTGGTCCTCCTTGGGTACAGAGTCAGATAAAAATGATGCAGCTTTTGCATTTAAGTCATCCAGTATCAGAAACTGCATTGTTAACCCAAACATGGGTGGTGAGTCCCAACTGGGTCAACATCATCAGGAAGTTGAGGCTGGAGAAAACCCAGTCAGAACTAGTCCATCAACCAAGACCAAGCCTCGCCCCTACCTCAGGGAGGGATGTGATGAGCTTGGGGACTCTGGCAGTGATAATGCTATCTACCTGTTTGACCTTCAATCGCTCTTCCTGAAACTAAATGACCATCAAGTTAGAGGGGACTTTCTTGAGGGCAGCATTGTGGAGATAGATGACCCTGAAACAATGCTTTACTCAATAGATATGATTAAGAAGGTGTTCCTGCCTAGTGGTGATTTGGAGACTGGGAATGGAGAGAAATCACATTCTATGGCTGCCCATCTGACAAAATTGTTGCAGGGTGTTCCTGACATGTTAGAACTATCTGGTGCACCTTTTCCAATAGTGGCTCTGCCCTATTGCCAGTGGAGGACATTTTTCAACACAATGATGCAGACTACATATTGGAGAAAAGTCCAACTCAAGGGGAGGCAAGTTCCAACTGCTGAGCAGTACCATGAAGAATCACCAAAACCAAAAAACAAGAAAAGATCACCCCGGGATTTTGTCTCATCTGAGTCAAGTGGCTCGGAAAAAAGGAAGCCAAAAGCCAAACACCCTGTTTCCAAACAACATGCCGGCCATCAGGATTCATCGTCAGATGGGGGTGTTATCGCACTGGATGAGCTGGTGATCATGAGCAGTGATTCTTCGGACATAGAATCGGACAAGTCGAGTACGCTGCCAGAACCCAAACGCTCATCACATTACCGTGTTGTAACTCCTCCCCCATTTAACTCAGAAGGACATCAGAGTTTAAAGAAGTACCTGCAGGATTTTGAAAGATACTTCAACTCCAAGTTCCGTGGTGGACCTAGAGAATGCTCCATGGAGCTGGGAAAGTTCCTTGAAGGTGAGGCATTGGTTGCATATAAAGCGTTTGATGGCCCAAACAGGCGCTATCCTATGTTGAAGGAGAAACTTCTAGAGTGGGATAAGTCACGGGAAGTACATGGTACCAAACGTTGGCGAGGAGTGTTGAAAACAATGATCATGAATGAGGGGGAGTCATTTAAACTCTTAGGGATGCGTGTGCGAGAAGTGGCAAGAAAGGCATACCCCAGAGATGAGAAACTATGCGTTAAGAAAATGCTTGAGAAATATTCACTACTTGTACCAGAGTGGTTCAATGAAAAGTTGCGTCAGCGTCAAGATATGAAGGAGATGATGAAACTAGGCAAGCAGTTAAACTGGAATGATGTGATGAAGCAGGCTGAAGCTGAAGATAAACGAGCTCGTGATAAGAGATTTCGTTATCATTCATTGGCACTAGCATCACCATCACCAAAGCAGAATGAAGAAGTCTGGATTGGCAAAGGAACAGCAAAACGGGTCTCATTCTCTCGTGGTTCACTTCATGGGCCTGGGTTGTCTTCTGCATGCCAGTTCCAGAACACTACCTCAGAGTCGCAAGTATACTCTCCACAAAAGCAGAGAGCGGGCAACCTGTATTCCCGGGGCAGTGGCAGGGCTTCCAATTACCGTAGGTTTTGTGATTGGTGCGGGAAAGCGCACTTCACAGAAGATTGTTGGTTTGCGGCAGGGGCCTGCCTCATCTGTGGTAGTAGTGACCACATGCGACGTGAGTGTCCAAGGTACCGACCTGATAACAAGCGTAGCCCCAAGTGCCCAAAATGTGAGGGTCCTCATTTAGGGATGTCCTGCAGAAAGACACAGGACCTGCAAAGTCGCCGAGGAACTATGGAGTTAAACAACTGAGTTCTGACCATGGAGGTGATGAGTCAGAAGATATATTACAACCTCAAAACAACCTCACTATTGTGCATGCAGATGTACATTTGGGAAGTGCTGATGCTTTTCCGGATCTGGGTAAGGTTTATGTGGAGACGAGCAAATGCGATATTCAGCTGAGAGTAGGTAGAGAATGTAATGAATATCCATCAACTGAGTATCACCTGGAAGCCCATGAACCGGTCCGCTTAAGCAGACTGGTGCGCTGGGTTGGTAAGCCATGCCCTCCTCTATTACTTATATTAGTTAACTTGGGTAAAGACATGCGTATTCCGGCATTAATTGACTCAGGGTCAAACAGGACACTCCTGCGACAGGGAATATTGCCAAACGAACTAAGAGTGGACAATTCTAAACAACATGAGATTCAGGCTTTGGGAGACCAGATGGTCACCCTGTCACTTGGGTGTGTGGAACTTCCGGTATCCTTTGCAGGTCTGACTATGGAGACAACGGCCATAGTTGTACCAGAAACGGTTGGTATCACTTGCGATCTTGTGCTGGGGATAGATTTCTTAAGAGAACATCGTTGGGAGGTTGACAGTCAACTCCGAAGATTAACGAAACGGTTTGTTGATGGAACCATGTTGGACATTTACTTGGATGAAAATGGAAATTATAAGTCTGTCGTGCGGCAGGTCAAGTGTGTGGCAGCGGCACCCCTTGACCTGGCTGCTGGTGAGCAAGCAGATGTCCCCTTAAGGCTAGACTTGCCAGAGCAAGTGCGTGAAATTATTTCAAAGGAAAGACCTCTGATGTTTCTCGAGCCATCATCTAAGGTGTATCCAATATCCATCCTATCTGGAGTGATGGATTCTAAGAGCCCACATGTGCTGCTGGTTAACCATGATCATAGCTCACACCGAATCAATTCAACTGTTCAGTTGGGAGTGGCTACTTCGGTGCTTGAGCTGCCATTTGTAGAGGAGGGCCCTCCAGTTAGCCAGGAACCGCTGAATGACCGAGTAAATCTGGATCATCTGGATGCCCAGACTAAGGGACAAGTGTTGGAAGTACTAAATTCGTGTGCCTTAGTGTTTAGTGATGGGAATACTGATGTGGGGTTGGCGGCAGTCACTGCACATCAGATTCAGTTACATGATGAAACCCCTATCTATCAGAGACCCCGGCGATTTCCTGAGCCAGTTGCTCAAGAGATAGAAGATCAGTGTAAGGAGCTGGCATCACTTGGTATTATTGAACCAAGTTGTTCAGCATGGTCATCACCAGTTGTACCGATTAGAAAAAAGGATGGAACCTTACGTCTCTGTGTGGATTATAGGCGATTAAATAAAGTAACAAAACCAGATCGATACCCTTTACCTAACTTAGTTGATGCAGTTTATAGTTTGAAGGGTAACAAATTTTTCACTACTTTGGATCTGACAAGGGGATACTAT